ACGGCCGGATCCCCTTCCTGACGCCAACCATTCCCTAATTTAGCAGTGTAAGACTAGAGGGAAGGCAGCTAGTCATCACCACCCACCGCCAACTCTTGGGCTACTCTTATACCAACGAATAGTGGGATGACCGTCACATTATAACGCCCCCACGGATAAAAGGGTGATGGACGGGGGCGCGAATCCGCGACCCGCAGATTGCGAGTCAAGCGTCCTACCCACCTGGCCATGCGGGGCTAAAACACTAAAATAACAATGCCAAACCTCGCTGTTAGGCAATACCAGGTGAAACTTATCATTAGTCAACTTTCTCTATATGTAGAGCTTAAATCAAGCATTTCAAAATAGACGCTGGGATTTCAAAATTTGGAGATTACAAAAACAACAAGAAACACAAAACTAGTTGGTGACAATTTCTAGATGGGAGCGCTGATGATAAACCGGCCATTTCCGGTCTTATCTTTCGTTATTTCCGCAAGACTCAGACATACTTGTATCCATATAAACTTTGTAGGAGCGATGCTCCTGACCTCGTGCTGCCCTTGAGACCTCTTTATGGCCGTAATTACGTATTATTTCCTAACACCATTACAATAAGCTTTTGGAAAAGACAGCGAGGTAAGTCTTAGGAAATGATTTTGACAAAAATTCCATGGGTATCAATGTTCGTGGGAACTGCATCTAGGAAGTATGTGGTGGAATGGACTTGCTGTGATTTCTTCGGCCATCTTCTTCTTCTTCAAGAAAACAGTTGCTGACTCAGAGGTGTGACCGAAAGATTGTGAACCATTATCAACTTCAAATCCTTGTCTCCATCCTGTTAACGGCTCCAAGAGATGTGTACAGGTTCATCGCAATTGCATTGAACGTAGGCGTCGCTCCTGATTGGGAGCTCGTTGCTGTTCTCAATGCTCTTTACTGGCGAGTTGTTTCGGTTCTATGGAAAATACGAAGGTTTTTTTTTTCAAAATGTTGTAGTCTCTGGCTCTACATCGCTTAACAATCTTACTATAACAATATCCATTCTAGAAAATGGCTGACCAACGACCTCCAAACATAAGTTTATCCGTAGCAGTATAGCGCTGTTGAATGTTGAAGAACTCGCTGTAAAACAAATATATAAACATTCATGACACCTGCGACGACACACAACTCTATTAACATATGCAAATCGTTCTTATAAAGTGCGATTAACCCTACGTATACGAGTTACAAAAATATAGTCATGTTTGATAATTTAAAAACATATAGAAATTTGTATTTATTTAAAATATTTAATTAAATTTAACACAAATATTTGACTAACAAGTCTTTAATATTTGCCTTTATGGTCGCGATATCCCATTTGAACTACGTCATAGGTTGCTTCCCAGGTTTTGTTTTCAATAAGGTTTTCACACACTTTTGATCTTTTATCCCGAAATATTTCTTTAATTCGCTTCATTTTTCCCCCTAATATCTTTTAGTTCTACACTGTTCCT